ACCTTCTATGGCTGTCACTGGAACTGAGAGCCAGCTTTAGCTCTGAGGCTCGGCTCCAGCTCTGAGACCTCGGCTGCTGAAAGCAGATATCTGGGTTTGTTTGGCTTCTATAATTGAAACACTGTTGCAACTCCAGCTCTGAAAGCAGGTTTCTGGGGATTGTTTAGCTTCTATAATTGCAACATAGTTGCTTAGAGTGCAGCTCAGAGCTGGGCGGTGGCAGGCGGGGAACCTTGGCTTCCTCCATCACTGGAGCAAGCAAGCCTCCTGTTCGCTTCAGCTGCCTGGCTGCCGGCCGCCATCTTGGTTGGCAGTTAATTTGCATATCGCCCTGATTAGCCAATGGGAAGGGTATCGAAGTTACAGTTAATTACCATGTTTCTCTTTTATTAGATAGGATACTGTAATACAAGTTTTGTGATTAGCTTTGGGGCCATTATTAAGTCAAATAAGGGCTACTTGAACACAAGCACTGCGATACTGTGACAGTCCATCTGATCTCGTCAGTGAAGTGACTCACCGTTGGGGACCTTGTACGCATGGATGAACTTGACAAAGGGATGAGTCAGGTCCCTGGTGAAACAGTGAGACAGGGCAAGATTTCTTCACTCTACTTAGAACAGCATGCAATTGTTTATTTCTGGAATCTTCTACTTCATATTTCCAAACTGAAATTGACTGCAAGTGACTGATTCTGTGGAAAACAAAACCACAGATAAAGGGGGTGGGGGCCTACTGTACCTTTGTTGATTGTACATCTCAGAATTTGAAGCCTGGAGCAAGGTCTTGAATTCACAAGAAACAAGAAATGCAAAAACATTGAAAATAGCAGCATAATGGGAACTTATGAGGCTGAGAGACACTTCAAGGGAAACAGACACGACATGGATTTTCTGAGATCACAGAGTACAAACTCGAGAGGAGAGCATCAACCTTGAAGGAGTAAACTAAGTTGGGAAGAGTTGGCTAAAGCCCTGGTCAAATAGGGTTCTATTCCTCACCATCTCTGTCAATCCCAAGCTTTTACCTGTTGTTACAGAAACAGGCAGGGGAGATATTTGAGATATTTAATAAATAAAATGGTGAGGTCTGACCCATCAGAACGATGTGGACCAGAATGTCGGAGCAGGAGCTAGAGAGCTCCTGCCAGGCTAGGTCCAGGGAGACCCCAGCACTGGGCCCAGCAGCTGGGGCATCAGAGCCACAGTCAGGACAGATCATCACAGTAGTTCACAGGTTGAACCAGCTGAATGTCTGCCCTGCTCACAGGCCCTGCTTTTGTTCTACTTGTTTCCTCTCTGCCAACCCGATATGAGATGCTCTTTATGCCGCAGCCTAAGCATCTAATTCCATATTACCCCAGAGTGGTTGTCTGTTGCTTAACTGGCCCCTTCACTATTGTAAGAACCTTGGGATAAAGGGGTCTTTTTCTCTGTGTTTCTGCATCTAACACTAAAGTAGGAGTGCTGGGACCCTGGAAGAGGTGACCTCTGAGAGATGTTTGTGTGAGATAAAATTCAGACATGCAGAAAAGAGGAGAACTGGTTCTGCAAGCTATGGAAATGGAATGAAAGAAGGCAGAAAAGTGAGCAGTGAAGGGCTGTGGTAGAAAGAGGCAGAACTGAAGTCCGGCTGCTTAAAGGAAGGAAGAAGGGCAGCAGCAGGGACAAAGTCTGAAAGGTATTCTGAAACCAAACTGTAAAGTGACATCAGTGACGGGCTAAGGAAATCAAACTGCATGACGTGGACATGCAGAGAGGTAAAAGTTAGAGACAGGCAGATCGTCTGCAGGTGTGTAATGTATTGAGTGGGAAAGAGTCTAAGGTTCGGGGCCAGTAAAGGGTTGTTTCAGTTGTCTAGGCAGGAGGCAGTGTCATAACTTGACCTTAGCAGGTAATGACAGTGGGAAAGACATTGTGGAGTGTGACTTACAGCCCTCAGTAACTGATCGGAAGCACAAATCGTGAAGGGTGAGAATCAAAGATGATGGCAAAGCTGTGAGCCTTGATTCCTGGGAGAATGCTGCTCCCTCCACAGCATGAGTTATTAGGTGAAGGCCCGGTTGGGAGGAGGCAATGAAGGGTTACACTAAAAGCATTTGAATCCCTTGGACTAGGCAGAAAACCAAAGGGAGGGTTGCAACAAACAGTCACAAATGTGGGATCAGAGCTCAGGGGACATCAGAGCTCAGGAGACATCAGAGGATAAACTCAAACAGACTTCAATTTTACTGAACGTAAGAAGATGGCCCTAGTGGGTTTGGATCAGTGGAGAGAGCATCAGCCTGCGGACTGAAGGGTCCCGGGTTCGATTCTGATCAAGGGCACATGCCTGGGTTGCAGGCTCAGTCCCCAGTGTGGGGCATGTGGGAAGCCGCCGATCAAGATCAATGATTCTCTCTCATCCTTGATGTTTTTGTCTTTCTCTCCTTCTCCCTTCCTCTCTGAAATAAATAAAAATAAATTTTAAAAAAATTAAAATAAAAAAGAAGATGAAGCTTCTGTGGGCAGGTTTGGATCCTGGCTGTGGCACTCACTTCCTCATTCCCCGAGGCTCTCTGCTGCTCCATGGGTCTTGGAGAAAGGTGGGCAGGCACCTGGTGGCTCCTGAGCCGCCTAACTGGGCTGCCATCATGCCGAGCTGACTTCCAAGAGGCCAGGCGAGAGCAGAGGCAGCCATTACCCAGAGCTTTTCTAACCTCTGGAGAATCACACTTTTAAAAGCTTTCAAGAGTGTTATTTATAAACCAGTGGACATGGAGAGAATATTTTATACAACAAACACTTATACACGAGCAAAATGCATTAGCCATGGCTAGGAAATGCTGGGCTGTTCAGAGAAGTTTTAGCATAACCAAAGAGACCCCCTGTCTCCAAGAAACAAATCGCTTTTTTCTCTCTAAGTACACAAGACGATATTGATCTAAAACTGACATTGCCATTGTTCTGACACAAATCTCAGCTCATCACGTAGAATGTTCCTGTATTCTGGTATGATTGGGTTTACTTGTGATTAACTTTGTTTACTTTTGCTGAGTACCAACAAACGATTTCCTTTTTCAAAAAGGGATTTTTAATTTCTTAGTTAAACAAATTTTTTCTAGGCTACTTCTAGACTGGACATTTTGAAAAACTAAGAGTTTCAACAGTCACGTGCCCTCAAAACAATAATTGTAACATCTGACCTTGTGTAAGAGCACACTTTCACAATTAACCATTTCATTGCACCAAAACAATTATACCACATTCACTTGGACAATTTCCTTCTTTCCTGAATTTACTTATATTTCAATTAAAAAAGTAAAATTAAGCAAAATGATCAAGTGTTTATGTTCTGGAGTCAGACTCCCTCAGTGTGGGTCCTGGGGCCCTGTAAGAGCTTTCCGCGCCTGCCACAACCACGTAACGTAGAATGGGCGGCTTAAGGTGGCAGCAATGTACTTTCTCACAGTCCTGACACTACAAGTCCCAAGGCCAGGTGTCAGCAGGCCATCCTCCCTCTGAAAGCTCCAGAGAAGAATTCTTTCTTGTCACTTTAATTCTCTGGTGCCCCAGACATTTCTAGGCTCGTGGCAGCAACACCCCAATTCCTACCTCTCTCTTCACATGGAGGTCTCCCTTCTGTCTGTCTGTGAGTCCATTCTGTCTGTCAGAAAGACACTTGCAGAGCATTTAGGAACCACTCCAACCGAGGATTACCTCATCTCAAGGTCCTCAAGTTAATTACATCTGCAAAGGCCCTTTTCCAAATAAGGTTACTTGTACAAGTACCAGGAGTTAGGACCTCGACATATGGTTTTTTGGGGGGGCAAAATTCAGCCCCATTGCTAGTTGTGTGGCCTTAGGCAACTTACTTTACATCTCTATGCTTTCATGTCCTCACCTGTAAAATGGAATGCTAATAGGGCTAAACAATTATGTAAGTAAATATTACATTTAAACTAGTTAGCACAATGCTTGAAACATTAATATTGTCTATTATCCTTAGCTTGGATAATGGAAGAAAGAAATAAACAAAACAAGATCAAATTATGATACTGTTCTTTACCATGCACTATACTTTGCATTTCTGTAGTATGTATTTTCCATATTAGGTTTTATACAATATTTCTTTCATTTCAGCTTTCTTAATGAAACAGAAAGTGTTTTAAGTATCATGCTATTCTGTTTTTCAACTGAATAAACTGAGGCACAGTGTGGTTACGTCATTTCCACAAGTTGGCAGCAAAGCTTAAACACTGGTGGTCTGACTGTACACCCAGCGCTCTTTCTATTCTGACAACATACACAGGAAAGTTATTTTACATTTCTATGACAACCCATTGTTCTATAGCCAACATTTTAAAGAAGGGATCATGACAGAGATCTTGATTTGAAATATACCTATAACAATTAATAAAGGAGAGAGATTAGAAAAGCAAGATGAATTTAAAAAGGGGGAGAAGAAAATATATTTATAAAGTGATTAAAGGTAGGCTTTATTTAAAATGTCCTTTCCTTCAAGTTTCATATTTACTATTTCAGTATGTTTGGCCCAAAATAGGTTACCAGGCAACCTCTTCAGGCAAATCCCCTTGAATCTGTTCCTCTCCCCACAGCACCCCCACTCCCAGTATCGTGGGGGGTTAGAACCACAGGCAGAGATGTCCACAGGGGAGCTGTTATTCACTTTGTCCCCTTCCTAACCTTGCTTGGTGCCAGTTAACAGAGGTTCCAGCTCAGCCTCCAACACTTCAGGGAACACTGGGGCAGAACCAGGTAAGAAACAGGCAATAAAAAAGCAGTAGGAAGAAACCTGGAATTTAATTGTTGTTGTCAACCACAGTGAGGACAACTCCACTCTATTTTGTTCAAAAGTTTTTCCTTGATGGGGAACAATATATCTATTGAAAGGAAAGCACATGAAGGGGAGATTCTGGCTTTCATCCAGATCACTCAGCCTCTAATTCTAAAATCCCCCTGTGAGCTCCTGCTAGAAGCCAGAGTTGCTTCATAGAAAAGAAAGAACAGAAGAAAAAGTATAAGGAGGCAGTGAGATGATTAGGTGGGGACACAGTCTTATCAATTTCATTCTCAAATTTGGAGTATGAGGCAATGAAATATGAATAAATATGGGTATTACCACCTCCTTTGGAAATTGGACTCACACTGTTTAAAGTCATTTTAATAATTCTGTGCTTTATTCTATATTGTATTTTCCAAATTGCTCTAGAGAGCCTGAAGGCACACATACAATGAAATCATTCAGCAAAAGTCCTTTAAACAATTGATAATAGCAGTAAAATGAAAATGAGCCACATCTAACTCTAAACCACATTAAGGTAGTTCTTTGCCCTTCTATGACATTTACCTTGAAGTGACTAACTTCTGAGTAAGAATTAATTAAATCCCACAACTGGAATGAGGGGCACAATTCCAGACGAGTACAATTCAATCCTGTTATTCACAGATTGGGCCACACCTGCGTCCGATTATGCCCAGGTGTCCATGAGAATGTCATCATCTGTCACTCTGTAACCCCAAACACAGCCAGAGACGTCACAGATTGGGCCACACCTGCGTCCGATTATGCTCAGGTGTCCATGAGAATGTCATCTGTCACTCTGTAACCCCAAACACAGCCAGAGACCTGATTAAATGACTGACTCAGGAACATTTTGCTTTTGTTTTCCTCATCTTATCCCATGCTGCCTCT